AAGATGGGGTTTCCGGTGCCCACCCAAGACGGGGTTTCCAGTGCCCACCCAGTGGGTCCCACCTGCGCACCGGAGGAAACGGGAGCTGCTGGTGACACTGCCCTGCAGCGCAGGAGGCAGCTACCAGAGGGGCAACCCCACTTCCCCTCCCCAAGAGCTCAGCCCTGTCACCCAGGCTTCAACCAAAAGCACCCACTGTCCTCTCCTGAGCCAGCCCAGCAGCCAGCATCTCTTCCCAGTGGCTCCCAGTCACGCCACCCTCACCTGCAGACCCCGAATACCCCCACAAACCGTCCCCGTGTCCACCACCAATGGGGATTAAACTCTCCCAGCAGTTCAGCCTCCCACCAGCCCCTCAGGACCAGTGCTGCTGCCCATCATACAGGACGCTGCATCCCGTCACTCGAGCCAGGAGCTTCCCAGTGCACCGTCCCCATCGCGCCCCGGCCCCGACTGCTCTCACCAACCTCCACTTGCTGGCAGATCTGTATCAGCTTGGCCATCTGGTTTTCCAGTTCACTGTTGCGTTTAACCAGGTTGGTGAGATTCGTCTCCAGGGTTTGCTGCGAGCCCAGAAATGGGAGAGGAGAAAGAGACAAAACAAGAAGATCAGCAAAGCTGGAGGATGGTCCCAAGTCCCCCATTAGCAGCTGAGACCATTCTCCACCCAACACCCTGCCTGAGGGAGCAACAATTTGTGCGACTTTGGGCAAAGGCTCTCGGGTTCCTCGGCAGCTCCTGCCCACACTGGTGGGTTCTGTGAGCGCTTGGCCCAGGACGGGGCAGCCGCTGAGCTCAGCACTGTGGTGGCCCTCAGAAGGTCACCAGCTGGAGGGGACAGCACGAGTGTCTGCATTTGCAGCACCGTTGGAGAGGCTCTGAGAAGCCAGGCTAGGTTGTGTTCCTGCAGCAAAGCTGTTTCTCCTGCATTCCCTGGAAAACTTTATGGGCAGCTGGAAAAACATCAGGAGTTATCTACGTTTCTCAAAAATTTTCTCAAACTGCTCAGTGCTGTTGAGCCCCCCAACAAAGTGGGAGAGACCAAACATGCTGCTCCCCGTGTTCTTACCAGGAAAGAAGCCAGCACAGCTATTTTCATCCCCAGTTTTGTTTTGCGTGTGGTAAGGAGCCAAACAAGAGCCTGTTGAACTCTCAGAGATGGACTTGTCTCTCTGCAAACCCTCTGCTGGAGCAACAGACGCACAGGCCAGGAGAGCAACGTGGCAGCTCCAGACCAAGCCGTGGGACAGTTTGCCTGGCACGGGCACCTCCGCCAAGCAGCGGGGGCAAACCCCTCCCAGGCTCCTGCCGGGCTGCCCGCTGCTGCCAAAACCCAGCCAAGTTCAGCCCTTCCCTCCCACGGTGTCCAGGTTTTTAGCAGCACAAGGAGCCGTTCTGCTCGGCAGGAGCCTGCCCGCACTGGACGCATCGCTGCCACTTTCCACCCCTGCTCCTCATCCCCTGGCACTCCCAGGGCTCGAGCCCCTGGGAGAAGGTTGTGGTGCCCACCACGAGCTGCCTGCGCTTCCCCTCCCACTCCCTGGGGAGCCCTGGGAGCAGATCACGACCCGGGGACCCCCGGGAGCACCGTCTGCTTTGGAACGGGGACAGAACCGGATCCAGCGGAGCCCGGAGGAAAACCCGTCTGAGGAGGTTTCAGGACCTGTAGACACACAGTGGACTCCTACTTTCTGGATATCAATAATTTAGGTGACACCACATTTCCATTAAAATACATGGCTCCACTAAGAGGAAATGTTTTATAACGAAGTGCTCACTACCTGTTGCAATGCTTGTTGGGAAAATGATATCCTTTTAATATTTTAAACTCCAGGGCTGGAAGAGGATCCCCACAGTGTTTTATTCCTCCTCGCCTAGAAACTGCCGTCCAAGGCTTTCATCAAGGCTCCAGCAGACCCATAAACACGGCCCTTCTCTGCACGCACAGATAATTTGGGGGCTAGCTAGCCAAGAGAACTTGAATCATAGTCATGAAGCACCGGCAAAGCACTCATTCCTGAAAAACCACTGGCTCCTAAAATACTCCGAGCTCGTTTGCAGCCCTGCAAATGGCTAGCCAAGGGCGGGGGAAGCAGAACACGGAAACAGGCTTGAAAAATGAAATAAAACCCAGGGTGCTTTCATGAAGTGGAAAGTGCTTTGCACAACAATGCTGTATCGATAATGAAAAAGCCAGCTGCTAACAGCTCCTGCCACCCTCCTTCCTTACAGCTCAATATTATTAAACATCATTTGACTAAAGCATTGAACATTTAACTTGTTAATTATCTTCCTCCTCACCAACTCGGCCGCACTGAAGTCGCAGCTTTGAAACTGCAGCCGATCTGCTTTAATGTTGCAGGGCTGTTGATGGAGGGCAGGGAGGGGAGGGGAGCTTGGGATACACCCTCTGAAGCACACGAGTCCAAAACGCATCTGCAGCAGCCCGAGTTTCCCAGGGGCAGCAGAGTCCCTCCTGCCCAGGCACACGCACGGGCAGCATCCCCGCGCACGGCGCGGAGCCGGCAGAGACCCCCTCCTGCTCAGGACAGCTCCCACAGTGACCCCCGCCCCTGCTGCTCCGGGGGTCTGCAGGGCTCCATGGCGAGGCACCTCTGACTGCTGCAGTCTTGTGAGCACGTGAGAATGCAGATGGAGCCATTTCCTTCTGCTTGGGTTTGCTGAAGCAAATAAAACACACGAGAAGCTTTGGCTTCACCAGCTGCTTATTTTGTAGGTATACAGAAATTGCAGCAAACGTGAGGGTTGGTTTTCTAATTGCATTGTAACACACTCGTAATTTCCCCAAACATTCACCTTCTGGCCTGAAATACAGAACAGCCCATTTCTCTACAGCTGGGACGAGAAATGAGAAAAAGAGCTGAGAAGAAACACGGCCACGTCCTTCGGCAAAAGTCACTGGTGCTCGGCCTGACGATGGGGCTGGTGGCCCCGGGGTGGAGCTTGCTAGCCCAGCGATGGCAGGACATGGACACGGACACCACGGGAAAGTGGCCGAGCCCTTCCCCAGCCGGAGCTGCGACCGTGCAGCTCCCAGAATACCAGCCAGGGTCAGATCCTCTCCGGCAGCTTTGACAAAGCAGCTCAGCGCCCGCACCCCGTTCACCTGCAGGTGACCAGATGAAAGATAAATACACCTGGCACCCAGTCGAGGGAGCTGAACGACGCAGCAGTCGTGCAAGGCTGTCAGTGGCTTGGGGGTTTTGGCTGCTGCTGCTGCTGCTCTGTGCCCATGTTCTTGGAACCAGCCCCAGAGCTGCTCCGATGGGCAGGAGGGCTCGGGAGGGGGTCATTTGGCTCCACTTTATTACAGGACTGGCTTTCCACATTTATCTTCATGCAGAAGCAGCCAAAACCAGCAAGTGTTTACTTTCAGTGATTTATTTAGGGCTTTTTTCATTGCTCTTGCTCATTTATAATTGCTTTCATTAGAGGCCACAGATCCCTGCCCTGCTCCCTGCACATTCCACAAACACCAGCCGCACGCGCGTCCACACACAGGGAGCCGCAGACGCCCCGGGCTCAAAGCAGCTGCAGAACACCTCCCGCTGCCCACCCAGCCACCCGGGCTGCAGAGCAGCCACTGCCTCCCACCATTCCCCAGCTCCACCTGCACCGAGGATGCTCGGCCGAGCCCTTGGCAGCCGAGGATGCGCTGTCAGGTCCCCTGGCACTGTGTCCCCGGCCCCCCCAGCCACCAGCACAGCTCCCCCCGAGGCAGCTCTCCCCTGGAGCTGCTTCCCAAGCCAGCACAAAGGTGAGTGAGCGTAGGAAGAGCTGGTCAGGGTTCAAACATGTTAAACTGCCAGGGTTTACAGCTGACAATCTGGGCCAGGGGCGTGGAGGGGGACATTGCACGTTGCCTTTGCAGCACGCAGTGAATGGCACCCTGGGGTACATCCTCATCTGTTGGTCAAGTGCTTCTCCTAAGTCCCTTTTCCCTCCAGCCCTGTGGAGGTGATCAGATAACTGACTGGGGTATCACCCCGTGGAGGTGGGTGGGTAACTGCCAGACCCTCCTGGCTGGCTCAGGGCTCCTGCTCCACACCCTCTTCAGCACAATTACGAACATCAGCAGAGCCTCACCATAACAAATCACTTGATTTTCTAGGTCAGCTCTGCCAGTTTGGGTGATACCAGGCACTGAAAGCTGGTGGTTTGTTTCAGCTTTTGCTCAGTATGCTTTGCTCCAAAGCATCTTAAAATGCACCAGTGTCAGGAGCCGGGAGCTGCACGGCAGCCGCTCGGCAGGCCAGTGCCGGGAGCGGGGAGCTGCACGCCAGCCGCTCGGCAGCTCCATCTCTTTCCATCACTTGCCCTATTGTCTGGGGAGACGCCTCCAGCAGAGGCAGGCAGCTGACTTGCTTACCATATTTTCCCCATTTATTTTTTTTTCTGGGAGCCGGGTATTGAATATAAACATCACCTCAAAGGGACACGTCAGCACCGGGGTTTGACCAGGCTCCCAGAGCTGCTGCCCGGGCAGTGCCGGGCGCGGGTCTCCTCGGGCAGCAGGGAGGCAGCGCCCGGCTCCCCCAGGCAGCTGCGTCGTGCTGTGCTTGACTTTTATTTCCAGCAGTCCCTAACATGCACTCCCTGCTCTGGCCGTGGGCCTGTAACATCCAGAGATTCTCACCACAGAGGATGCCAGTCCATGGCTGAAGGAGGGACGGGGAACTGCCCCTCAGAGGCTGGCTGCAGAAAACTCCCAGTGGGCAATCAAGTGTCCTGATGTCTCCAGGACAGGAGACATCCCAGTTAGCTGTGAGCTAAATACAACCAGTTGGAGTGTGCAAGCAAAGGGCTGACCCTCTCCCTGGTCACACAGCCACACCATGGGGGATTGCACACGGCCAGAGCCTGGCAGGGACCCCATGAGATGCTCCTGCCCCTGTCTCAAGCCTCACTTTCTGAGGAAAGGCTGCCAAGAGCTTCTTGTGCCAGGCCCCTCCAAGTAAGACATGCATTCCTCCAAGGAGAGGCAGCCAGGCTTCTCCAAACCCATCACCTAGGGAGACAGGGAGGTTTTTTTACCTTTCACATAATTGCTGTGGTTTGCACTCCTCTGGCCGTCGGTGCTGCAGGTGGTTTTCTCAGCAGCTCCCCCAGGGCCTGGCTACACATCAAGGTGAAAGTCTTCATGAGGGCCCCAACTCCCTGACGCCGTGGGCAGGAAGGGGAGCTCCTTGCCCAACACATGCACCTGATCACACGTGTGACGGAGCTTAAGAGCAGCCACACCAAAAGCTGGGTGGGTTCGGAACCCGGCAGCTCCTGGCGACCTGCCCCGAGCCACACGCCCACAGCCCCCGGGGTGGGAAGGGTCCACAGCCCCGAGGGAGGTGCTGAGCACTCCTCTCTCCCTTCCCTGGCTGGCCCCCTGGCAGCGAGACCCCGGCCATACACCCGCCCTGCTGAGCCCCTGGGAACGGGTGGGACACGTCCACTGGCAGGATCAGGGCTACCTTCTGCAGCAGCTGGGGCTGGGAGCTCCTGGAAAGAGACCTTGACACTGACGTGACCAGGAAATTGCACTACAAAG